TCTGAATTTGGCGAAACAAGTGCATAATTACAAGAGGCAACTTAACGTCACAGCAGGCATAACAACAGCCGNTGTGCCAATCTCCAGCATACTTGGAATTCCACCGAGGCCGCGTCCTTGGTTTGGGGGTAATTTTCGAGGCTGCACATGGGTAGACTTTGCGTCCTTCAAATCCCCACAATGCTTTGCGCACGGACCAATTTCCCCGAAACTGTGGCGGAAAATGTAAGGCGGGGCCTCTCATATGACGCACACCTGCACACTTGCTAGCCTGTTCCACTGTTCGTTTTCCGAACAACAGACAGACAGACAGACAGACAGACAGACACAGACACACACACACACACACAGCTCCTTTGCATAAAAACACCCTAAAATAAACTCAAGTCTACAGTTCATGTAGATTTGCATTCACGAACCCACTGACAAAGATGAGCGTGTGTGCAGACAAGCAACAGGGGCCAGAGTGTGTGAACAGTAACATGTGATACCAAGCTGATTCTGTAGAGAAATGATTGGAAGAGGCCCAGAGGATAAACCAGTCTCTAAAAGGCTTATTATGCTGAATTAAGAAAAATAATGGAGACTGAAGATTACACAAACACAACTTATTGGTTTTATCTCTGCATGACACAGATTGGCTAAAGGCAACACTTCCATGTAAAAGGATAGATTTGTGTATACACCAACACACGGTTTCTCACACAGATACGCACACGTTGTAGGTCTCAGGTGTGTGATCTCTGGCTATAAAAGCCTCTGAAACAGTGCTTTTTTTTCAGTGTTCCCTTCCTCGCCGTCTCCCGTCTGTTCTGGGGAGAAGTAGAGCAGCAGCCGTCACGCCACTCCTCCTGAACCAATACTGCTCTCTCTTAGCCTTTGCTCTTGGTCCATTAAAAAAACACCCATGACCATTTACCAAAAATAATTCACACATTCAAGAATAGCAAGTATCCCTTTTTTAATTGATTAAAAAGAGTTCAAATCAAACGAGAGAGAAAAAACAGTTGAGTTGTCCTTTTAGTGTCTCATTTGACCATTTAGCAGGACCTCCTTTGCTAATTGTCTGTTACCATAATAGGCACACCGTAACACCACTGTATAACACACCATCGCCTGATGGGGTTACATCTTGGGTAACTGTCAGAACTTTCCATGAACGAAGATGAATAAAGTCACTATGTTCTGCGTTGCGTGTGCCCCCATTTATAAGTTGTTCCATTATTCATAACAGGGAATCGTAAAATGAAGGCTCATTATATACTCTTCAAGTGCTAAACTCATTAGCTACCGCAAAAACCTCACCATAGCCCTCGTTCCTAAAATGTCCTCTAACCTCCAACCAACACTGATAATAAGCTTACACACATGGGCAAACACGCGCATAAACACGAAAGCGCTCACACACACACCTCTGTAAGGCCCAACTATGGCAACAGAATGAGTAACACAATCTAAAACCAGAAGACATCAAATAACTATTTTGAACATTTGCAGGAGGCATCTGTACAGGCTGGCAATGCAGAGACGGAGAGAGTTGTTCATTAATAGGATTAAATGCTAAGGCTAATGGTGTAAACCGAGACACAGGATGTGTCAGGTATGTGACAGGCACGGTGCAGGGTAAGTTTTAGAAGAGGAGTGGGTTACGGCGGAGGGGGTAGAGGTTGTTATTGTCATGGATTACTCACTGCCACTTGATCTGCCTATTGCGGTAATCCCCTATCTAAGCTCTACAGGAAGGCAAAAACACACAGGAGTTATGTTGCACCAATGGAAATGTCTTGAAAACATCTCTTTGTAAGCTCATGGATGGGGCTTATTGACATTTTTACCCCCGTCCATGATATTCACTGCCTGTGGTGATTCATCTTGAATTAGCCAGTCATGATAGCATTCCCTCTGACCCAAAAATCCTATTATACGACCAACAATTTCTGTTCTGTTTTCACATTCCTCCCCTCTCCCCCACTGTATCTCCTCATAAAGAGTTTATAGTGTTTTGATTTGATGCAGGGCTTGATGGGATATGGCCATGGTTGGCTGGCCAGGGGTGTGGGGCCTTGGGAGCTGTAGTTCTGTGATGGAGAAGTCTGTGGGGAACTCATCAGAAACAGTGCTCTTCAAAGGAATGCAGTTTCCAGTCCCAGATCAGCACTAAGAGGAGATTGAATTCATCAGCTCATTATCAAGCCCCAGATTAGTCACGTACTTTGAAACAGTTGAGTTGGTGGGGTGGAACAAATGACCCTTTAGGACAGGGGTGGGGAACCTCCGGCCTCCTGGCCGTATACGGACCGCGAGGCCATTTGGTACGGCCCTCGAGGCAATGTATAAACACACGCAAAACAACGAAAACAATTAAAGAAATCTAGACCGCAAAATAATTAAATAAGCGAGTGCCACGGTCAGGGTCCTTGAACACAACACGAGCCTAACGTGTCATCACGTGGTATATGTCTCGTCTGACAGGAGAGTAGTGCTGACGGAGAGCACCAAAACCACGCTCCGCCCCTTCAAAAATGGCAGTACGGAGCCTTACACATGCCGCAGTTTTTGCGTGGCTGTGGCCGTTTCTCAATCTCGAGGAAACTGGCTTCCAAGCCAATATTTCAAGGATGCTACCCCATCGAGTGCCGCCGAAGGGCTGTTCCAATCTCCTGCATACTTGGAATTCCACCGAGGCCGCGTCCTTGGTTTGGGGGTAATTTCAAGGCTGCAGATGGGTAGACTTTGCGTCCTTAAAATCCCCACAATGCTTTGCGCACGGACCAATTTCCCATGCCAGGAAGGATTCTTGCCAAGCTTCTGAAGCAAGTGACTCGGAAGACATGTGCTACCAAGAAAGCATCCTCGCGATTGAGAAACGGCCTCTGTCTTTAGTTCTAAGCCCAGTGGCGATCTGTTCATCTGTCATACTGATCATTTGTTGTTATTAGCATCTGGTTAGCTAGCTATGCTAACGAATATAAGAAGCTTTTTCTACAACCAGTGAGGTAAAGGCACATCTTTATATGATCATCAGTTATAAAAAAATAAGAGAATAAAGTAAACAGGTATAAAATACTATACGACAAAAGAAAGTTGTTATTAATTAAACAAGAATACAGTTTGGAAGTGATTTGTAAAATATCCATAAAGAAAAAGAAAATCTGCTTACAGTTCTGTTTCATATGGGTGTTGAGATGTATCCATAGATCTCTTAATGTTGCTCTCAAAGTGCACCAGACTGATGCTTTTAACTTCAACATTTAAAAAAAATCTTCCCGGGGGAGCATATCTTGTGTCCATATCTTTCTGTTTTGGTGGTCATGCCACAACCGTGCATGTGCATGCATACGCGAGTCATGGTAAGATATCTGGATTAAGAGGTTGCTTTTTCTTTGCACAGCAGGAAAGAAAGGCCAAATGAATGGGCTGTGATTTTAGTATTTTTAAGCAGAGGTCAATAATTTGTACGGCCCTCGGAGGATGTTGAAAAATTGAAATGGGCCTTGAGAGGAAAAAGGTTCCCCACCCCTGCTTTAGGACCAAGGCTGCAGAGTGCTTTTTAAGGCAGTCGTCTCACTCTTCGCCCTTTGCAAGAGTACAGCTGTTACTGTCCATCTTAAAAAAGTCAACAGCTGGAAAGTGTTCCCAAGACACTGAACAAAAACACCAGCTGACATTCAGATCTGAGCATGTCAGGCACACGGTGGCAATAGGTTTCAGTCATGGTAAATATGAGTACCAGTGATCCCTGATGCAACACGAAACATAATTCCCACACATTTTGACCTTTACGACATAGCCTAAGGCAATCTTGTTGACTTTGTGTATGTGGGCGCATATGCAATAGGCAATTCAGAGGTAATAACTGTGGGAGTCAAGCCTGCTGTGGCTGCAGGTGTAGGCCTGCTGTAGGACATGAGACTGCTGCAGTGTAGAGCAGAACGTAGCCATTCAAAGGAGACGTCTGCGCTCTATGCCTCTTCGTATCCCACACCACCCGCCATCCCTCCCACCGGCCCATTGATGTCAGAAAAACCTGCTTTCTTCCCAGAGGAGAGTGAGGCTGCTATAATCGCCACGGCCACCCCCACCCCACCCTTTCCAAAAAAAAAAACCCTCTCCATGGTCACCAAAGAGAAAGCCGGAAAGCAAGGGAGAGGGGGAGAAATTGTGCAGAATGGGGAGGGGTAGGGGGGGGGTGTAAGCAAATGAACTGCGCATGGAGAAGAAAGGTTCTTTTAGAGTCCTTTCCTTGCCACATATGGGCTTGCTCCCACAAGTAAGACTGATAGGGAGAGAGAGATACCGGGTGGTTTTAAAGGTGACAACAGGTGGTCTAATATACGCACAATTACATCTATTCCAGTGCATGTCTGAGTAGGAACTTTTCAATCACTTCTGATATAATGTATTCCTGTGAAAGGGAGAGACATGGATCGCCCAGAGGCTTGCCAGGGAATCCAGGCTGTGCTAACACTCAGTGTAGCTGCTCGTTAAAGCCAAAGACCTACTGGAACATGTGGGAAAGGCATGATGCATGTTAAAGAAATAAATAGTCTGAAAAGTTATGAAAATTGTATACTTTCTACATGGTTCATACATGCTTCAAAAACAGTGCATGAAGGCAACCGCCGAGTTCTACTGTACCATGGACACTTTAAATGTAGTCTCCAAATTCAAGTGTGTGCTCCTGTAAATGCATAATCTTAAACAAATTCAAACTTTTTATCAATAGAAATGAATATGTAACGGCCCTTTATATGCTGATTAGCGGTCAGGAGGTTGTGTGTGTAAGTGGAGTATTGAGAATGCTCACTGTGCCTCAATACATACAACATTTTGTTACATGTTTTCCTGACATACAGGGATCAAGCACACTCTGGCAGACAATTATCCAGATCAATGAGTGATGATGCAGCGCAAAGAGCAGGTGAGATTTTCGTGAAGTTGTCATTTTCCCTTTGCGAATTAGTGAGTGTGTAAGTTATTTTAATCATAAATAACAATACTTTCCCAGGTACAATTTCATAAGCCCACACATCCCCTCTGTTCACACTTCCATGGTTGTGCTCACTTAACATGAAGATCCATGCTGTGCTGGAAATGATAGCTTGACTGCTATCAGATCGGCCCGCTTGACATTCATATGAAGCTTCATCTTCCAGCAAGGTCTTCTCAATCTGCAGATGATGCTGTCCTGAAGAGGAGAGGGAGAGATCGACGAGACACATTATGTTGTGAAAAGTATGTTCTCACTAAAAGCATGTCAATAATAACAGAAAATAAACGCTTGTTTGGTTTTCTTCTCGACTCCCCACTGAATATAGCACTCACTGTTCAGCGTTGTTGCATGTGTATCGATAAATGCCTCCTGCAGGCTTTATTTCTTCTGTGATTTCAGAGAGTCTGAATTATAGGCAATTTTCAACATGGGAAATGGGAAAATTAACAATAAAAGCAATTTGTACAATGACAGTCTCGCTTTTCAATTCAATACGGTAATATCCTCTACTGCTGACGCGCGAGTATTTTATTTGATTATAAATAGACTATTTTCATATTTCTGTAAAATGGAAACATCTCACTTGCTGAGAACCCCCCGCTGCAGGCACTTCCATTGACATGCAAGTGGTTGTCTGTACTCATAGCCGAGGCATTTTGTTTAGAATGACTTTCCAGCATGGTAAACTAAATTAAATTCCAGATTCACAACGCCAACCGAATAAACCGTCTATTAATTGATGCCAGGCAGAGTCCTTCTCTCGGTATCTCTCTTCTGATAGTCTGGCATGCCAAAATGACTTGATTTGTTTGATGCGTTGCCATAACCTCTGGGGATTAGATGATGTTCAGTGTTGGTTTTTCAGCTCGTGATTCTCTGGCTCGCTGCCTTCTAATATGTACAAAATAGTATCTTGGTTTGACAACCACCCTGGCCAAAAAATGCATGTGTCAAGTAAGCTGGCAAGATAATTAACACCAACCAGAAGCAATTTTCACATCTAAGTTATCATTGAGTGCAGAGAGAGAGACATTGAAGTTATTAATCATATTCCTCTTTCCTAGAATTACTCACAAATAGTGCAATCAAGTTGTACAGAGTGTGTATTTATTGTAGTGGAGATGGCGGATGGCTGCTTCCCGATTTGCTTATTTGTCCATTATTCTGTATTTATTTTTACTTCACAATTTTGGGATACAGTAAATCTACATAGCCATTACGTCAGCAGCAGTGTACATTCTCTCCTCTGCAAATCTGCATTTTTGTATTGGCGGTAAAGCTGGCAACACGTATTCTTACATAATTCAGAGAGGCCAGTCCCAATGGAAAAAGTGTAAAATGTTGATCTTGATGCGGAGTCTTTAAGGCAGCTGGGAATACTTTGGGTGTTTCTCAATCTCGAGTAAAGCTGCTGCAGAGCCACTATTTCAAGCATACTACCTTCGAGTGCCGCCGAAGTACTGTTCCAATCTCCAGCATACTTGGAATTCTAACGAGCTTGGCGTACTTTGTTTGGAGAAATTTCGAGGCTGCACATGTGTAGACTCCGCGGTCTTAAAATCCCCACAATGCTTTGCGCACGGACCAATTTCCCCAAATCTGTGGCGGAAAATGTAAGGCGGGGCCTCTCATATGACGCACACCTGCACACTTGCTAGCCTGTTCCACTCTTTGTTTTCCGAAGTATTCTTGCCTCGCTTCTGAAGCAAGATACTTGGCAGACATGTGCTACCAAGCAAGCGTACTCGCGATTGAGAAACACCCACAGTCTCACTTACTTTTTTTTGTAGTTTGAAAATCAGGCAGTTTCTTACAGAAAGTAACAGCCTCCATTTTACAGGGTCATTCATCCTTTCAGAAAGTGAATATGTTGTTGTCCTTAGTGGTACAAGCTGATTAAATATAAAGTATGCACTTCATATTCTTAAACAAGAATGTATTAAAATGCCACAAAATTAACGAAACCTATTTCTATTATGTATGTAAGTAGTATGACCTACTTGTTATAGAATGTTTGTTTGTTTTCTAAAACATTCTAGTGTTGCCAACATGCCACAAACTCTGAATATTGATGTGTGACTTTGGTGTTTCACTTTATAAATGCTTAATATTGGTTAGCTGATATTAGAGGAGAAAAATGTGCTCTTAGGGTAAATGCGATGACATGTGGACAAAAGAGTTCATTCATAATTACATTTGACCTGATTCATTGATTTGCTTGACCAGTATATAGTGCCTTGAAGCTGTTGTATCTGTTGTTCTTTGTGTTGGTCTTTGCAGTGCACAACATTGTGCACAGATGCATGAAATCCTACTGTAGATCTAGCCTCGTGTTTATACACATTTACATCATTGCTTTCTCTTGTTGAAACTAAGGGTGCTACTTAAACTGTAAGTATATGTTGAAATCAATGCTGGCCTCTTCTGTTTTTGTAAATGTGTCATTTCAGGCTTTTTAAGCATCTATAAACATCCCTGATGGGGACAATCAGCAAAGACTGGTGGAGTATCAAGTGCAGTCAAGTGCCATCTTAACGATTTTGCTCTTTCCGTGCAGTGTAAAGTGATTGCATACATCCGTTTGCAGGTTTTGTTTCTGCTAAAAATGTACCTGCGTTGATGGGTTGTTTATTCATGAGTGTATGTTTGAGTGTTTGACAGCTTGTGTGTGTTTGTGTTCCTTATGTGCATGTGTATCTTTTTTTATGTAGTTGTATGTCAGGTAAAAAGAGGCAAAGAATTTGTTTTCCTGTACCTCCTGTAATGCTTACCGTAATTTGCTCACTGACGACTAATCAGCTGACAGACATAATTTAAGTATTTTATGTGTCTGTTTTTATGTTAACTATAAGGGTTAATAAACATAGACAATGCGTGGTTTGGCATGCAGTGTCTATGTGTCGCTGGCGGTCTCCGACACTGAGCAACAGTGAAGTGCGGCTTGTTGCGGGCTGATCAGGAACAGATGCTCTTCTCTTACTCTGGATTGCTGTCTAATTGGCTATTACTTTTTATAGACTGTGTTGCAGATTCTGCAACACACTTTATTCCCTGCCACATTTCACTGATTTGCTGACACTATCGCTTTAATATTTTTTTCTGTCTTCACTTGTGAATGACAGTGAGGGGGAAGTGTGAGAGGCTGTTGACAATCTCATCACCTCCTCACTCCCAGATGCTCCCAGTATAGAGAGCCAGTGTGGCATAAGGTTCCATAATGTCTGTGTTGCTTTATTACAGCACTTTGAAGCCATAGCAACAACATCATCCCATTTACTTTTAGAGTAGCCAACACCAAGCTGCACTGCCTCCTGAGCTGACAGCAGCACTTCACAATTAAAACTATTTGAACTATACTGTATGTCACAATAAGAAAAGCAGTACCCTGGATAAATCAAATACTGACAGCAACAGTCTTTCTGTAGCAAACCATCATTTCATTTATTATTTCCACGTCTGAAATTATGTTAAGGCACACAATTTGTCTTGACCGTCGCAAACGTCATTCAACCATTGGCAATTTAAGATGACTAGTTCTGTTTTGTTTTTTTTATTCGTGTTTTTATTACACAAGTTCATTTATTTAGCTTGGATGGGTCCATCAAATCCCAATAGGCCATATAGCTTATTCTGTGAGTCTCCCTGTTTACCTCTCTTGAGGTTTCCAATCATGCTGTAGCGCTCAAAGCCTGGCAGCCTTCTCTGTGGTCCCAGGAGGAGGCCATCTTTCACCCACTGCACAGTCCCTGAGGCCCGCAGCACCTCACACCTCAACACAGCTGTGGCTCCCATCCGCACAGTGAGGTTCCTGGGCTCAGTCCTGAAGGCCTGCTGGGCATGCGTGCCTGGAGACATAAAAAGGGAAGAGGGGGAAAGGACTTAGAGTGGAATGTTAAAGGAGGGAAGGGATATGATGGGATTTAATGTAAAAAGGGGGAGAAGAACAAAGGCCAGTGAGTATTTTTGAGGAGTGTTATGGAGGATGTAAAAGACGTGGAGGGAGCATGCCATAAACATACACCACAGGGAAGCAGTCTTGCAGTCTTTTGTCTGAGAAGGCCCCCCATTGTGTCTGGTCACATTATTCATGCTGGCATATGTTTTATTGATGGGAAACTGCAGTGATACGGTCCTGAAAATGAGTCAATAAAGTAATTACTGCGAATTAAATCCCCCTTCAGCCATGCAGATAGGGTATTGGGAGAAGGGAATAAGCATGGGGTATCAGAGACCTTGTTCACCTGCGGTTTTTCTTTAATGTCGATGTCCCACCAGCTAATTCCTCTTGGGAAGAGTAATGATTATCACTTTAATCCCCCTTGTTTGTCATAGGTGGGGTTCGCCATCCTTCAGCCAGGCTCTTAGGCGACATTCCTTGGTGCATTGGATTTAAGTCAGGAAGTTAACCTTAAAACAGGCAGTCCATGAACTTCTAACAATGGGGCTAGGATTATTATACATAGAGTTTATGAATAAATTCAGTTTAAGGAGCCAAACGCAACTGAAAACTCCAATTAATGGCAAATATCTGAGTGTGAATCTCATTTAAACAGTGCCCCAGAGAGAAGGCAGCTTGATTCCGCTAGGCTGTTTGAATCTTGACCTTCATTGAGGCAATGACCAAGTTGTTTGTGAAGTGCATGCTCTGTTGCGTCTGACAACATGAGTGAGAGGCAGAGCTCTCAGATCAAGGCTGAACCAGTCACCTCACGTCAAATATGAAGGGCAAAATTGGCCATTACAGAGGATGCATACCAACAACCAAACACAGGAGAACATTTGCATACAGTTTACATAAATGAATACTCAACAACAATCTACAGTCGCTTCAGAAATAGTAATAAGCTAGTGTATTATTATGAAATATAACAATACTAAATACAGTATCAAAATGTAGTTATAGGAACCCTCATGAGAGCATGTCACTTTTTACATTAAGAAATAGGCCCAATTGACCTCTTACAAGATATTTTTATGAGCCCTGGATCGAAACCTTGCTCATTGTATTACATTCAAGGGTTTTGCTACTTATGTTTTAACCTAGAGTACTTAGGAGTGTAAAACAGAACATTGGAAATAACAATTTGGGACATGTTATCTGTACCATTTACCCAGGTTGCTTGTTCTATTTGAAAAATGGTAGAAAGAGGGGGAGGCTTTTTAGTGAGGATAAGTGTAGTTGTTGCTAGCTTGATGTTTAAGTTGACTATAATGCTACATATAGTTTCATAAAAACGTATATTTAACCGTATATTACCTCTGTATAGTTGTTTAACAGAATAAGAGTAAACCAAGAGCTAATGAACATAAGGTTTATGTTTACCTGAAATAAAACATGGTAATATCGCACACTAGCTGCCATGAGCTAACTATACTGTGAATTAGCTTATGGTTAGCTTATGGTTGCTATAGCGTGCGCTAATGTTACACAGCCTGTGTTAATGGTATTACAGATTACTGACACTGCACTGCTTGAGCTACCCTCACCCTACATTTTATTAAATCAAAGATTAAAATTGTAATGTTTTTCACAAAAATAAAACAAGGTAATACCTCACCATGTTTGTTGTTTCCTGATAGTTGTCCCACTCTACCACTCTCCCTTACCTCTCAGCCAGTCTAATGATGATGTCTATGTCTCTAAACCACCGGAGTCAGTTGTAATGAAGGGGAATTCAAAGATCCATTATCATCAATTGGCCATTATTCTGCGTTTTAGACTTGTGAGTGACCACAGTGTTTCAGTATTATATTTTAAGGGAATTTCTGATAAAGGGGGTAATTCTCTGTGAGTTTGTCAGTGCGGCGGCGGCGGTCACCTCTCAAATTCAGTATTTGACCCATTGTTGATAAAGAAATATTAAATAACTACAAACAGACATTAGAAATGTGCACAGTTGTTCACATTAAGTGTCTCAGTAAGCAGGTGTGCACAATATTATCTGGGTACTGAAACTTTGGCAGCTAAACGCAATGCAGTCATCATTAATTGATATTATTAATTACAGCTGGGCTTTAATTATCTGATCTGTCAAAATGTCTGCAATAGAATATTTATTTAAGCTCTCTATTTAAGAGTGGATAGCTATGCATTACATTAATTTTCTTAACCCTGATTTCTTAAATAATTTTCACCATAGTTTGTAAGAGACTTGTATATTCTTTCCAGACATCATTTTACGACCTCTTCAGCAACAGCATATACCTCACATTCCTGAATTCACACATAGTATTGTCTGAAAGGTGTCTGACCTGCTAATATGTGTTTAAGGATAAAATAGATAATTATATTATATTGGCAGATATCGTAGGGGTATGTTTGGTCCATGAACTTTTATTAATCAGCATGAAAACTGAGGGAATACTGTGCAAATAATACCAGTAGCAGAAGTTAAGTGTTTTATCTATTTTCTCTAAAAATAAATTGAAGCTGGAGGTGAGATTAAGAGGAACATTCCAAGTGTATGTAAAAAAAAATGCTAAAGATGACATTCACAACACCATACTGCTCACATTGGACAGATTTACATTGAGCTAAATGTCAATATGGTCACATGGAGTAACGCTTCTGGCCATACTACGGTTTAGGCAGTATTTGGATTAAGCTATTTGCATAAAACATGAATACCCTGAGACTGAGTTCCCCCTGTGACCATGAATAAATTGGTTAAAATGTGTTTTTCTACCTGTTCAAAGGAAGAATGCTCCCCAAGCAAAAGAGGCTAAAAAGGAAGATGATGTTGTTTTTTCTATTTGACTAAGCAATAGAACAGAGGAAGGGAACAATAATTATGTTATTAGTTTGTCTTTTTTGCCAACTTAATTTCCAAGCTGATTTATTCCGAGGCTGAAAAAGTGAAACGTGAAAGAATAAAGATGCCTTTTGATACTGCATGTGTTTTCTTAGACTAGATTTTCACAGTTTATGATAAAGAAATAACTATAAGTTAAATGTGTTGGTTAAACTGGCTTAATCTCACCGTACAACAGTCACTGTAAACTGTGTGACTTGAGAAGGTTACACATACAAACAAGCAAACATAAGCTATTATATTACATGAGAAATTCAATAAAGTCGAGGTTCCCACTACTCCTGAACATGGATGGGTCTTGAAAAGGCCACAGTTGCTACAATGATAGCTTCATGGTGACATTTGATTATCTTACCCAAGATGAGACAGAGAAAGGGTAGAGCTGAAGGAGACACAATCCATGCTGACATGAAGTCCATTTCACCATTGGCACCTGACCTTCGACAATCCTGGAACAACCATGAAAAAAAGGACATGAAATATACATAAACTCTTTGAACCCACAATATGAATATAATAGGCATATGTTTTTCAGAGGAAATCACAAGTGTTGTAAAAAGAAGCTGTCAAATTAAAGGGGGCCTATCATGCAAAATGCACTTTTGTACGTCTTTTATACATGAATATGTGTCCCCGGTGTGTCAGGGAACTCACCAAGTGTCAGAAAACACAACCCTCTCTCTTTTCCTCCATACCCAAATCTCTAAAAACGGGGCTGCAACGGATCTGATACAGACTGTTAGAGATTTGAAATATCTCTGACGTCAGAAACAAGGAGCTCCGCCTATATAGGCAACTCTCCACCTATCAGGGGAATGGGGGGTTGCCGTGGCATGGTAACAGCATGTTAACAGCATGGTAACATGACGCTCGTGCCTCGCCCCCCTCCTTTGCAGGGGAGCGTGGTCAGCTGCAGCTCATTTGCCACAGAATCAGCCCTTGCAAAAACAGGGCTGGAATACAGCAAATAGAGCATGGCTAAAAATGAGGGCTGACATGTCAAGTAAACGCGTTAATAACGCGTTAACACAAACAAAAATTAACGCCACTAATTATTTTAACGCTATTAACGCATGTGTATTTTTTGTTTAAAATACCATCTCCAAGCTGATGCTCACAACCCCGCTCCTGCCGCCTGCTTGTGGAAGACCACACTTCCACGCTCACCCGCAGGCCCTGACTGGCCATCGGGAGGGTGTGTGTATGTGTGGCGCGAGCGAGAGAGAGACCTTACGTGTATTGTTGTTGTTAGCATCTGGCGCTAACGGATATAAGGAGCTGTTTAAATGAAAACAGAGGAGCGACATTTCGCCGACAACTGCGCTGAGCACTTGACTTTATGCAGGTAGCCAGACAGTGGGACAACACACACACACACACACACACACACACACACACACACACACACACACACACACACACACACACACACACACACACACACACACACACACACACACACACACAGTAGGTTGAATTGAGGCCAATATTTGTAATGTTCAGAGGTTATTGTTGAGAATATTTGTCATTGTTCAAATGATAATGAACATTAGCATAAAGCATATTTGTCCACTCATATGTTGATAAGAGTATTAAAAACTTGAAAAATATTCCTCTAAGGTAGCCTACATTTACTGTAGAACAGATCAAAAATGTGCAATTAATTTGCGATTAATCGCGATTAACTATGGACAATCATGCGATTAATCGCGATTAAATATTTTTAATCGACTGACAGCCCTACTAAAGATGCATGATCTGTTTGTTTTTTGTTTTTTTAAACTTCACAGATATGTTTTGTATAGGTATGGCCCTACAATATATTATTAAAATATAGCATTATAGGTCCACTTTAACATGAGTTCTAAAAATGTGCTTCTTTATTCTCAAGATTTTACTTTTCGATAACTTACTGTAGTTTGGGTCTGCTATTTACTATTCACTTTAGCATAAAATCTCACAAGCTTCTGACAAACATGATTAAAGCATAATTACAGCAGACCTTTCAGATTCATTAATCAGTTATTAGTCCATCAATCCTGCATGAGTGTGCAATGAAAACATAAACAAGTTAAAGAAAGCTTCAAGGCAGATTAAAAGGTCTTTATAATAGTCTCATCACAATTCAATAGCACAGTATTAGTTTCCCCAACATGGTGTTAATAATGTATCTCTCAGATGGAAACTTTCTCTGTTTGAGTGGCCTCAGTTTGTTCAGCTAGCTTTAGTCCCCTGATGAGTCACAAGAAGAAAACAACATCCTAAGGGCTCTACATTTAAAAATGGTGGGTTGTTGTTATGAAAACCTCTGTTGCTCTTTGTGGCATTTCATCTGGCTTCTCTTTGCAGAGAAAATCAGGATCAGCTCCAAAAGTGTATCTCTAGTCCTGATAAATAGGTAAACATACCTTTTGTAACAAACTTAAAGGTCCCATGTCATGCTTTTCCGGTTATTACCCGTCCCCTTGTGTGTTATGAAGGTTTTTATGCATGTAAACGGTCTGCAGAGTCAAAACCCTCAAAGTACACCCTGTTGCGAGTAAAACTCTAACACAGAAAATACCTCCCCAAAACGCCTCGTTGGAGATACGTCACTGTCCATTGATTCTTCCGGGTACCGCATGATGTCATGCGTTACCCGGAACCAAATGGACCAATCCGTGGAGCCGTTACGTTACGTCCGCGGAGCCGTTACGGACTTCCTCACACACACACTCTCAGTGCAGGCAGCTCTGCTGATCTCTCCTCCCTGGCTGCAGGCTGATAACAGAAAGTTGGGATCGCGGCGAAATTCTCTCTGCAGACCCATTCTCACAGTGTTTAGCAACCTTTTTCTTACTTAATATCAAGCCACACTTATTGTTTTTACTTCGGCTGTGACTTTGTGTGTGCTCAGGGTGAGTTTGGCTGTGTTTCGCTGTCGCTAAACAAGGAAACCACACCTCCACGGAGCTCAGCGCGATTCACAACGTCCCGACCAATCAGAGCACACTGTGCTCACAGGGAGGGTGGGGGCTGGAGCTATTGGAGGTACAACGAGCCGTTAAAGGCAGAGAGTGAAATTCAGTGAATACACGTAGTTTACAGAGATGCTGTATGAGAAACCAAAGTGATTTTGGAAAAGTGCACAATATAAATCTATTCTAGTAGACCTCAACAATGGAATTATGATCAGTGGAAATGGCCATGACATGGGACCTTTAAATCAAACAGTCAATATTCACACTTTATGTTCCTCTATGAATTGTTCTTCAGGGGATGATGGAAGATGTCAGGACTGTAATATGACACTACCTCCTTTGTGTGCAGGTGCCTTGCTACGTGTTCGACTCTGACGGCAAGAAGCACGACCTGAACCCTCTGATCAAAGTGAACGATGGATATCTGGTGGACGACGGTGACGACACCATCGACTTCTACATCAACATCTGCCGGAGCCTCAGTCAGTACCTCGGGTTGGGGGGGAGGGGGAGATAAATGACTTAGAAAATGAAATACCGAATTTGATTAGGTATTTAGTAATATTGTAGGGTTAGGTTGTAGGGGTTAGGTTTAGGGACCAGGTGGAGGGATTATATCTCTTCGCTGGCCTGGGAGCGCCTTGGGACCCCCAGTCAGAGCTGGTTGATGTGGGGAAAGGAAAGTTTGGGGCTCTCTGCTGGA